CATGGCCTTTTGTTTTGACAAATTGACCCATTAAATATGGGTCTCATGTTTAATTAAATTATTTAATTGACCCAAACTTGGTCCATTTAAATTATTTAATTAGCCCAGCCCAGATGATTAAATAAAAAAATAATTATTCCTAATAAAATATATTTGGAATAATTATTTTTATGGATAATTATCACAATATAACCGGCCCGGTCAAGTTGTAACTATGTCCTTATCAGGAGAGGACACATGTCATCATCCTATTAATTCAAGAAGTCTATAAATAGGGGCATGGAGGAAGGAGGAAGAGGTCTAGAAATTGAGAGACTCAGAAATCCAGAGGGCTAGAAATCCAGAGGAGATAGAAATTGAGAATTCTAGAAATCTAGAATTCTAGAGAGAAATACAGAAGCTCCACCAACATTCATCCCCAACACCTAAACCCGAAGGTGAAGAACAACAAGCACAACTAAAGTTGTGTCATTCTTCCACAAATTCAACAAATTCCTTGAAGACAAAGAACAACAAGCACATCCAATCTAAAGTTGTGTCGTTCTTCCTCAAATTCAATAAAGAACAACAAACACATCAAAATCGTGCCGTTCTTTCTTCGTGATTTAACAAGTTTGAAGAATCACCAAACAATACTGTTCGAGATCAAGCTTCGTCAGCCCTCGATCAGAAATCATTGGCAGTCTTCTTTAACTACAAATACTTGAAGAAGATTGTCAACAGCTTGATTCAAGATTAAGCTCCAACAAGTCTTGGATCTAAACAACAAAGGAGATTGAATCAGAGGATATGTTCTTTATTTTGTAAAGGATATCTCAGAGGATTGTACTCGAATTTTTATAAATTAATAAAATTCTATTTGCTCCCTATTTTGTTCTTTATTTGCAGACTACAAAATTTGTGTGAACAAATTTTTGGCACGCCCAGTGGGATATCCTCTGCCTCTCATCTCTTTCTCCTACATCAAATCCTCAACAAATTCATCATCAAATTCTATGACTTCCAACAAGATTTAGACAAAGAGCAAGAGTACCCCAAAGGACATCGCAGTTGTGACGAATAACATCATTACCACCACAAAAGGTGGTAAGAAGGTTACAACTTCGTCAAGTAGTACAAACATCTCTGCAAGTTCAATCATGTGGAGCATGGTCAAAGCATCCGTTCCTGGCAAAAGACAATATGATGTGATGAGAGTCGATTCCGCCAAATCTGTCAAAATAACAACTCAAACTCATATCGCCTTCACTTTACTGGGGGCAAGAAGGAAGGTTCCTACAACCTCAAAGGTTGCTCCAGTCATAAGTTCACGTTCAAGGCTGGTCCACCCAAGGCCAAAGAATCTCGAGGAACTGCGTATGGCTGCTGATCTTCCTCCCTACTGAGGCTTTCTCTGCATTACTTTTCCTTATTTTGCAGTCTTTATTTTGCCTCTTTATGCTATGTTTTTCTTTTTGAGGATGACAAAAAGGGGGAGAAAATGTAGTTGATGTTTGATTGACAATTGGTTTATTTTGGTGGTGTTTTGGCTGAAACTATGTTGATGTGTTTCTAGTTGTAGTTGTTAACACGGGATTATTCTGGATAGACTGTTTTAACCTTGGATAGACTATTGTACTCATTTTTCTAAATATCAATGTTAGTCTCTATATAATTCTCTGGATATGTCTACTTGTCAATTTTATATACAATGCATAAAAATAGGGGGAGACTTATATGAAAAATGCCTATTTCCAGTTGCAACCTTAAATTGTCTTTAATTACCTGCTATGAAGTACAAATGAGCATAATGATAGGGGGAGCTTGTTTAAATGTAACTCCACTTATCTCTAAAATACATCATTGTTTTGGTGATCGTCAAAATTGGTTTTAGGGTTAACAGAAATAACAAAGCAATTTTATTAGTTTTTGTTCAGTTCTGATTCTCTGAAAATTGTTCTTGAAAACCATTGTCATACTTGCAATCCAAGCAATTTTAGTAGTTAATATGAAATATAAATATATTCAATTCAATTAAATTGAGTAATCCTTGAATTTTTCCTTTTTTGCCACACTATTTTGTAATGTTAATTGTAATTAAAACTTGAGAACATTATAATTGAACTCTAGTGTACGGTCAAAATTAAGGAACAAAAAGATGGATAAATCATAATCTAAATATAAATTCATGAATAAAGCAGCAATTGATGACTTGTGGAAAGATTCAACCCCCGTTTGGAATTGCGTTTGCAACATTTAAAAGCGCGCTCAATTTTAAAAATAGTGTTTAATAGTGTTTAGGGGATAGAGGTTTAATAAAAAAATGGCATTTCGATGAAGCTAGAAATTGGAGCTTATGAAATTACATTTTGCGTAAAAGTTATATCAAAATTCTCTTAGACAATCTAATCTCTCTTTAATTCTAATAATTACATGTTCATCTAGATAAAAAAACGTTTAGGTAAATAATGTGTTTTAGGTGGGACTTTATCACTCATCACTCTTCATCACTGACCGCCATTGTTACCATCACATATCTCTCTTTGCACAATTGATCCCGTACAAATTTGTGTGAGCTTCATACTGAACTTATTGAATTTATATAATATTACACACACACACACACATATGCAAGTATCCTACTTGCTCACGGGTTAACTGTTTGTTCATGATTTGGATACTATTATTTTGCGTGAAGTAACTAAGTACTTGCCTTCTTGATACATTCGTCTTTCAATGCATATACCAAACTACACTGATGTATCATGTGGGTCATGGTTGCATATAGGTATACGTGCATATAACCACTAACAGGAGCATCACATATACCAAACTATATCGATGTATCATACGGGTCATGAAATGGCTTCAATACCCTCTTCTTCATTTTATATTCATAAGGGCAGAGGTTTGTCGATCTGTAGCTCTCGACTTCGTAGTGCCAGCTGTAGGGCTAGGTCACCTAAAATATGCAGGCACGGGCCCTGTTCCATAATCTTCAATCTTCAAGCTATAAGTGAAATGATAAGGGTAAAAATGAGTGATTTGTTTACGTTTAAGAGGATGATGGACACTTTGACGTTACACTAACTTCACTTTCTCAATTACCTTAGGGCTTGGTGGAACCAACTGGTTTCACGTTGGGGTCAACTCTTTTGGAAAAACTATGTGCATCAACCTTTGCTAAAGCTTTATTATGACTAGGTGATGTTGTACTTCTTGACTTCTTTTTTCGGTATGAATCAAACTGCGCTTTTCGAATGGGAGGGGGATCCTGAGAAGGGTATTATTGTCGTTAAATTATTTATTATGTGTTGCGTGACCATCATGTGAGAAAATTATGATTGAAAGCTTGTCGAAGTGGCAATCTACAACCAAATAGAATAGTTTAGGTTTTTTTTTTTTGCACAATTTGTAGTTCAAAGGAGTTTTATGCTAGTTTGGTAACAGTTAAGGGGGGTTTATTGTACTTTATCTTATATATATATATATATATATATATATATATATATATATATATATGAAGCATGCTTTTTTGGTCACAGATTTGGATTTATATTGTAAAATATTATTTCGTTAAATTTTATCATTAAATATCATGTGTAAATATCTGTATTTTATTATTAAAAAAATCTTATATCAAATAAAATTAATGTTTATTAAATATGTTAAATTATTTATATTTGAATAATGCCACATGTTATATGGATAATATAGTAAACTAAATAATAATAATATTTTAAACAAAATTGTTACCAAACAAATTTAGAAAATTTACTTTATATAATGAATCACCAAATGACTAACGTATTATTTGTATGACAGTTTTAGTGATAAAAGCATTTTCACTAATACAAATAAGCAATTGCAACACCTTTTTTCTTTTTTATTAATTTTTTTTTTTTTTTTTTCATTCATTGCCAAACAACTCATACATATATCCACTCCGAGAAATATAGAAGATAGAGCCAATGAAACAAATTAGGACAAGTTAAAAAATTTTAAACAACAGAAATACAAATTGAAAATAACAATAACAAGAAACCCATTTGTCAAACAATTTTTTTTTTTTAAGAGACATCGCATTCATAGATTGAGATGAAACAAAGAAAGAAGTATTTATATATATACATATGTATGATTCAAAAGAACACAAACCCTAAAACTGTGAGGACAATTTCAATTTTATTATCATAGATTGAGACGAGACAAAGAAATAAGTATTAGATCATTCATTTCTTGTTGGACCAATGGCCAGATTTGGAGAATAAGATAGAGAGCTCACTTTGGAAGCTTTTGCTTGCTGTGCCGCATATTGCAATTGAACCTTAAACTTGAATCGCTATGATATAAGTTGGGCCATGAGTCGCATAATAATTTTTTTGTTCTAATTGTTGAGATAATTTTTGAGATTATAAAAATACTATAATTAATCCACTATTCTTTCTCCAAATCTCTCAATTTTTTCTCTCTTCAAATCTCTCAATTTTCTTTTTTTTAGAGAATAACTTATGATTTCTTTTCTTTTCCCTCCACTAACTATCCAAACACTAAAATTATCATTTATTTTTTTGTCTTTCAAAATCCCTCCAAATCATTCAATCCAATCAAAGGTATAGAAAAAAATATAAATAAATTTTTGTAAAATATAAATAAAATTTAAAATTAAAGAAAGGTATAGAAAAAATAAATTTTTAAATATCTTATAGTGATAAAACTCTATAAAAAATATATTAATTATCAATAATAAAAAAAAATCTACAGATTCTCTTACGGAGTATTTTATTGGCTACGTTAGCTTGTTACAACTTAATTTATTTATTTCTTTAAAAAAAATGATTTTATTGTATTAAGAAAATTTGAAATAAAGAATAAATTGAGTTTTTTTTTTTTAATTTGGTATGAGAATCAATTATGTGTAATTATAAATATAATGGTCAAATAGACCGACTGAATTAATTTTCAAATTTGGTAACTAGAAAAATAGAAAATACTTGAGTAGAAAAACAGAAGAACGAAAAAAAAATAAAATGGGTTTTGCGAAACTAATATAAAGCACAGTAAGAGGTTTGAGAGAGTCCTTTCACCGAACTCTCTCCTTTTTCCAATCAATTATCTTTTGAAGATCGTTCATCGATTCTAGGGTTTCCATTTAGTCTTTTCTCTCTCAAATCAGGTTTTTTTTTCTCTCTCTCTCTCTGCATATTCATACACACACATGTATGCATGTGTACAGTTTACACATACATATATAGATATATATTTGTGTGGGTGTGTGTGATACCCAATCGATTTGCTTGTTTGTTTAGTTCTTCGTTAGTTATGATCAGATTGCCGGATCGATTTTTCTTATTGTTTGTTGATTTCGTGTATTTTTCTCATTACGGCTGTGTATCTGTAATAGTTTACACGTTATGGCTGAAGTTCTTGTTTTGCTTTATTTTGTCGTTGTTACTGTTTACAAAATTGCGACTTTAGTATGAAGATTCCGTTTTCTTAATTTGATTCTATAATCACTTGCGAAGGTTTATGGCAGTTTTTGATGAATTTGATATTGATATTGATATTTTAGGGTTTTGGTGTTGCATTATGGGTAATATTGAAGTGGCATTACGTTGGTTGATTTGATAATGTATTTGATTTTGATAATGTTTGTAATTCACAGATTTTGGTTTTAAAGATGAGGATGAACAACGAAGGGAAGACGATTGACTTAGAGCAGGGATGGGATTTTATTCAGAAAGGGATTATAAAGCTGAAGAACATTCTAGAAGGACTGCCTGAGACACAGTTCAGTTCAGAGGACTATATGATGCTCTATTCGTATCCTTTGGTCTTTTCATTTGTTTGTCTATTTTAGGTGATTGTTCCATTATTGTGTGTTGTTATTTTCCTTAATTCTATGTGCAGAACTATCTATACTATGTGTACTCAAAAGCCCCCTCACGATTAGGCTCAACAGCTGTATGACAAATACAAAGAGTCTTTTGAGGAATACATTACATCAACGGTAAGGAAGACTTTGTCCATCTTATCTATCTTGTGGTGCACTCTGATACACAGATATATACACCTTATTTGTTGTCTCCTTATCGAAAATGAAGTATCCCCAATGATAAATTGCTTACTCTAATTTATATTTGTATTACAAGCTTTGAAGTGGTGTAGAAGTCAACATTAAGTTGATGTTATTGTATTATGCGATTGTGTAAGGAGTGAAATCGCATTAAGTTGTTTTGTTTTGTGCCGCACTTGAGGGGGATATGAACTTATTCTTTGACTGGTGCTTTTACAGTTGGCAATCATTTATTGTTTGGTTTGGGTTGGTCAGTAAGAATTTTTTCATCAAATTAGAATTTCTTAGTTGTTAGGAGAAAAAAAATAAAAACAGGTATCTGTGACTTGTCATCAAGTTCCTCTAAGAGAATTTAGTTACAAAACTAAGGTATTTGACCAAAACAATGGTTTGGCAAAATAGAGAATAAGTTTACTTATATGTCAAAACTCAAATGATACTTTAATCTTATATATATATAACGTTATGCTGTTGTGGTCAATTGAGGAGACATATATTCTCATTGGGTATCGAAGACTACAGAAGAGAAGGAACTTTTTACTAATGCATTGCCACTTGATTACAAAAATCAGAAATTTATCTTTCTATCATGCATCTTATATTACTAAACTCAACTTGTTCTTTGGTTTTGCATAAACTTAATTTAGTTAGTCAATAGCAAGTCCTCTGCTCAATGATTGGATGTTGATTATGAAATTTGGGAAGTATTTGAGCCCCTTGCCATATTAAAGATACGTTTGGCTTGGCTAGAAGGGGCAAAGATGTCCTGCGGATCACTTAACTTCAACTAGATATATATTTCAACCGAAACAGGATTATTTTAGATGTGTTGGTGCATTTGATATCTCCTGTAAGTGGCTGGTAGATATATGTGTGCACACATGTAAACTTCCAGTTTTGCAAGTCATAGCAATCAACAGCATTGTTTATATCTTACATTTAATTAGATAGGTGTGAACTTGTATACGAGTAGAACCAGAGTTACTTCATAATGAATACATTCTCATATACCATAGAAACCAAATGATTAAGTGATGGTTTGAAAAATCAAATATGACTTGGAAACGTTATCACGCTCGGTGAAAAGAATTGTGAAACCTCTCTTTTTACAGGAAAGCGATTCTCTTTTAATACCATTGAAGATATATACTTGATTTTTTATTATCAATTTTACCTTTGGAGTTAACAGTTTCAGTGATTCAGTGACTCATCTCTTTTGTTACTGGATTTTGAATTGAAGGTATAATTACTTATGGAGTAGTTAATTGGAAATCTCAATTCTGTTCTTTTTGAGGTTACAAATGAAATTTTGTCTTGGATACATAATTCCATGCATATAAATCTTCTTTGTAGGCTTTTGGCTTGAAAGGTCTCTTCTGATGCCCTTTTCATGTACTAAGACAAGGCAGAAGTTAACAACTTGATTCATGTATTAGATGATGATCTATGCATGGCTATTACTACAATCCAAACTTCAAAAATGGATTATTGACTATCAGAAAAAAGATACAGTCCTTTTTGTTTTTGGGCACTGATATAGCGTGAGTGAATTTTAACTGAACCAGATGTAGCGTGAATAAATTTTAATTGAACCAGATGTAGCGTGAATGAACTGATAGTCTAGAGTTCATATATACAAGAAGTAAGAAGGAAGCACTTGTAAGTTTTGGTATCTGGCGTGCAATAAACATATGAAATTGTGAAACGATGCTTGTTGTGTTATTTTCTGATCTAGATATGACACTGGTTCTTGTGTTGATGTCTCTCTCCTACTTGTAGTGCAATTAAATTCTTTTCTTGGTTATTTTCCTTCCATGCTTCTTGTAGAAATGAAGTTGACCTCTTTTTCCTTTATAATACTTTGCTTTATATTTTCCAAAATAGAAGAAGCAATTCACAAATTTCATTAGACAATTGGGAGAGAGCTAATTTTAGTTGCAGTGTGCTTACATTAAGTACTGAAATTGGGACTTTTTCCTTGTGCATTTATTAGCGGATGAAATTCTTGGGCAGGTTTACTTGAAACCCTTGTCTCATATATTTGGTGATTGTATAGATATTGTAATGAGATAGAATGGGGTTAGTGTAGTTCTTTGGGTGCCCTCCTCTTTGAGTGCTCTTTAATGAATTATTATTTATAATAATAATACAAAAAAATGTATGAACTATAGGGAATTATGATAAGAATTAAATGGTTTTGGGAGAACAGGAAGAAGACAAATACTAACCAGAAATTTAGTAAAAGTTTAATAATTTAAGATAATGGAAATGTGTACTTTAGACAATCCGTTGGTCAATTTTCGCAACGAACTTATTTTACCAAAGGCCTTGTAGCCTAATGGTATCTCCGATGGTGAGGGTTCAAGTCCCCATATGGCAAATGGGTGTGTGAGTACCAACTAAGAAAAAAAAAATGGGTGTGAGTTTCTTGCCAATGTAAACAAAAAGATTTTTCATATGTAGGCCGACTAAATAGGCGGGCTACACAGATCCACCAAAACACAATCACAAGATAATTCATGTGGGTTACACATGATGTCTTCTTTTCCTTTTCTTCTCTTGTCCCATTCGTCTGGTTAAAACTTTCAGCCTCCAAAGTTGCTCAATATAACATTTTCCTATGGTGGGGGTGGTGTTGGTGTTCAAGTTGCAGGTGGCAGAAATAAGATGGTTGAGGTGCTGAGAAAAGGAATGATAGTATTTCCGCTGGGGGTCTTGAGTTGATTGTATAGAGCTTGACATTGTTGAATGCTCTCTTCTACTTCTACAATAATAATGAGGGGATTTTTTATGTGTTCCTCAAGTTGCCTCTGTGATTTTTTTTACATTAGAATTTTCCATAGGCATTATTGAAAGATGAAATTTGACATGAGGTGGAAGCATGGCCTGAACTACTTGGGGATTAAGTACACCCCCTTATGAGTTGTGAGTTTCATAATGTGTGCTACACCACACCTGAAAAGAAAAAAAAAAAAGAGTTGCCTTGCTCTTGGAAACCTGCATTTTGAGAGAGAGGTCAGAATATCCAAATTCAAATATTAGCTAGTATTCACTTTGTTTTTCTCCTTTTACAAACTTTAAAGGTTATCAATTACTTTTGATTTTACTTATTTTTCTTAAATATTCATTGGAACATAAACTTCTATTGTTTATTTATTATTAAATTATTTTAAAGTTGCTATGGCTATATTATTTACATTTATCTTCATACTGCTAGTTCGAAATAATTTCATATTCGGCCTCTGAAGGTTGTTACCTGAACCAGTGGAACATTTGCATTGGCGCCATTAGCGTGAGTTTGAATCTCAGAGCAGCCACTTTGTAAAATGAAAACGGAAAAGTCTGTTTTGAGCCCCTCCCCAGGACCTTGCCTTGGCAGGACTGCAACTGGATGATGGCCTTTTCTTTTTATTCCTTTTACTTAACCTCCACCAAAATGAAATTTCTGGATTCCCTATGGCCCCATGCAAAAGTTGCTTTTCCTGCAATTACAAGCATTCTAGTAATAATTTTCTTAGTGCGTATAAATTATCTAGTAGAACATGCATCATTATCTAGTGGACCAAAACTAATTTTTTTTGTAAGTTCTCACTTCTAATATTTACTTCCTTATTATTTGAAGCTTGTAGAGATAATTTTTTGTTTTTATTTTTGTTCTTACAATTAACTTTATTTGTTTTCTATTCTAATTCAGGTATTACCTTCCTTAAGAGAGAAACATGATGAGTTTATGTTGAGGGAGCTTGTGCAAAGGTGGTCAAATCATAAAATTATGGTCAGGTGGCTTTCTCAATTTTTCCGTTATCTTGATCGCTATTTTATTGCTCGGAGGTCGCTTCCAACGCTTAATGAAGTTGGACTCACATGCTTCCGTGATCTAGTATGTATTGATTGTACCCTTTCATTATCTTGTTATCTTTGTATCTGAACTTATTTGTTTAATAGATTTTAATTTAGTGCCTTTTGAGATTTGAAATCTATTGCAGCTGTCCATTATCTTTTACTCTTTTCCTTTTTGTGGTCCTGTTTCCTTCTATGGTATAATCGTTGAAGTATGATTGTAACATATATTTTGAATTCAGGTCTACCTGGAGTTGAATGGGAAAGTAAGAGATGCTGTTATATCATTGGTATGTTTTCTTTCTATTGCTTCAACTGCACACACTAGTCATATATTCTGTTTTATTCTACGGTTCAGCTAAAAAAGAGGGAGTTGATAAGGTAAGGACCGGCACCCTAGCCTTTGACAGAGTGTTGGGCAAGGTCTGTGATATAGACCTATAAGAGGGGTGAATAGGATAATAACTGCTACTTGAATCTTAACTAAAATTAGCAAAACTTTAGAGTCAAATTATAACTAAATATTGTAGCTCAATCAATCCATCGAGGAAAATTAGTTGCACACAACATGGACATGCAGATGCACCAGTGAAAAAAAGCAAAATTAGTTTTCATAGAAGGTAAGTCTGTAGTGAGACTTACCAAACTAACTTGGAATGAAATAATTAAAAATTACTTTGGAAGATTAAATGTTACAGGAGATATTTCATGCGGTTGATCCTATTTGTTTGCGATAAAGACAAGGATGATGATGATAAATCAATTCATCATGCTTATTATACCAATTAAATTAAAGCAGTAAAAAACATGTATCAGGACACCGAGACTTTTATATGGAAAACCCAAACGGTCATGGAACCTATTACAACTAGGTTATTAGTTCCCAAACCCAAGAAGAGACACACAGACTAATCCACCAAAACCTATAATCGAGTTTCCATTCTCATAGTCTGCTCATCAATACAGATCCACAATCCGCTTCTCCAACCAGTGATTTGATCTCCAATGACTAGTTATTCAGATCAATCTCAGATTGATTGAACAGATCTTGGTGTTGTAGCTTGTTTACAGCTCCGTGGCAATTGTTGTCAACACACTTGAGTAACTGTCATGCCTTTAAATTTTAAAACATTGAGATATCTTATTCCAAGACAAATATGGGTATGCCACGTTCCACTATGCACAAATTACCAAGAATATCTAAATGAAGTGTAAGCTCAATAATAGACCAACCGAGTACATAAATCAATACTTAAGACCTACAAAGTCAACCACACTGATTATTATAAAATCAAAACATTACTTTAAGTGTTCCGACATGAATCTCTGGGGTACTTAATAATAACTAAACAATAATTAAAGAACATTAGCCGCTCCACTGGCGCCTTACTGGAATGTTAAGTAAAAGGGTTAGCTCAGAGCTGAACAAGATCATAGCTCAACAAGTAAACTTATACCATAACTCAATAACAATTGTGTAATATATAATATCACATTTATGTGCTTAACTCATAAGCTTCACAATCTCGTTCAATATCTTATATGTTAATTCTCTTGATTAAATTCATGAACCTTAAGCATGGTTTAACATTTGTTCTTTTTAGTTCATTATATAAGGAAATGCCTCCAAATCTTAGGTAAGGAGCACATCCAACCTCTCAGGTAAGGAGCATATCCAACTTTGTAGGTAAGCAATTAATCCAACTTTTCTAGTACATTAGGTTGGGAATACAACCAACCTCACATGTAACAACTTACTCAACAATAGGTAGAGAACATATCCAATATCCCATGTGGAACGAATCCGATGAGGTAGGGAACACCTCCAACCTTGTGGAACACATTATACCTTCAAATTTACAAATTTCTAACTAAAAGTATTCTCACCTAATTCATCACAATAATGTTTTTAGTGTTAATTAAGTATTTACAATTAGCTCGCTAACACAGTGTAAGTTTTATACATAATAGTTGAATTGGTTACCATCGTACACAAATGGAAAATTTTCGTACTGACTGATGTTTCTTCTATACTAAATTGCTCCATATATGTTATAGGAAGAGTTACAGTTTAAATGCATTATAGCATTAGCACCCTTACAGTTGTTCATATATGGATTCGATGCGCGATCATTAGTTTACTAATATTGTCGCTTAGCAACCATTTTTTAGAAAAACACAGAACAGAAAAATAAAGGTGCAATGGTAAATAATATACTCACCTGAGAGATCAAAGCACAAAACAATTTAAACTCTAAAAAAGTTGGCATTGAAAGATTTCCTTGGTAAGCAGAAAAAATTGAAAGAAAGAAAGCAATATTTAGTTTGGAATCTTGTAGAGAGAAACAGATTAAGTTCTTTGTATCTCGATTATTGGCAAAGAGAGTGGAGATCTCCCACTAAAATAAACATGATGGAGGAGAGATAAAGGATAGTAGATTTTAAACCTAAAGGCTAAAGCCCTAAGCCCTAAGCGCTTTTTATTTAGGATGGGAATAAAAAGGTAAATAAAAAATTAGTTTTCTTGGTTGTAGGTGCAACAAGCTTACTCACTCACGTGAACTTTGTAAATAGTGGATCATGTGATTCCTGTTTGATTTGCATTTATATTCATTAAATCTCCTCACAATACAATATTTACCTAGCAATTTGTAATGAATAGGGTTAGATCAAATAGAATATTAATATCTGAATATCGGATCATATAATCTCAACAACTATGTTCTATACAGTTTTTTCATTGTTATTTCTTATTTTTTTCAATTGGAAGTAGGCAGATTTGATAAGTATATACTTTTTCTAATAATGATAGATCCGAAAGGTATGTTGAAATATATCGGTACTGGTATATCACTATATCCACTGAAACACCCGTGCAAGTATGCAACATCATCATTATTTCCAAGTTTCCTGCTAAGGTTAATCAACAATATCTTCTAACCAGATTGATCATGAGCGCGAGGGAGAGCAAATTGACCGGGCTTTATTGAAGAATGTTTTAGATATATTTGTTGAGATCGGAATGGGGCAAATGGATTATTATGAGAATGACTTTGAAGCGGCTCTGCTCGAAGATACTGCTGCTTACTATTCTAGGAAGGCTTCAAACTGGATCTTGGAAGATTCTTGTACAGATTATATATTGAAAGTAAGCATCTACATTTTTTTTATTTTATATTTTTATATTTTTTTATCTCATTAGCTTAAGAAACATCTTTTTGATAATTTAGATGATTTCTGAGCATATTTTTGAAACTCCAGGCTGAGGAATGTTTGAGAAGAGAGAAGGACAGGGTTTCTCATTATCTGCATTCTAGTAGCGAGCTAAAGTTGCTGGAGGTTTGTTCCGATTCTTGGCCAGATTATATGTTGAAAGTAAGCATCTACATTTTTTTTATAATTTATTAGAAATCTGACTTCATTTTCAGGTAGTTATAAAGATTGGAGGATGTCATAGCATATTGAACTAATTTGCCAGTCATTTTTTATCAGTGAATTTTATGGTTTTTTTCTTATGTTAAAATCAGATTGGATAATCCATGTTGTTATCATTCCTCTGTCATTTGTTTCTGTAGAAAGTTCAACATGAGTTGTTGTCCGTCTATGCAACCCAAGTGCTTGAAAAAGCGCACTCTGGATGTCACGCATTGCTTAGAGATGACAAGGTACTCACTCAGATCATGTGATATTCAAGCGTTTACTGTTTATTTAATTGCAAATAAGTAACGTTTATTGCTGGTTTCGTTTATTTGGTTTTAGGTGGATGACTTGTCAAGGATGTATAGGCTCTTTTCTAAACTACCTCGAGGTTTAGAACCTGTTTCTAGTACATTTAAGCAGGTTTGTAGTCTAAATTGAAGTTCATTTGATGAATAGGGAACCTTTAATATGTGCGTCCCTTTGTTATTATTTCTTTCTTCCTCTCCTTCATATTAAATTATATACTGGTGTTTCTTAATGTAGCATGTTACAGCCGAAGGTACAACATTGGTTAAACAAGCTGAAGATGCAGCAAGCAACAAAAAGGTCTGTATCTTGATTGTTCTATATCAGATCCCATAGTCTTCTGATAAGTTGCAGTTAGTCGCACTGATATTGGAATGTCACTTTGTTGGGCTTGGGGCAGGTTACAACAATTTATCTTCTATTTTGTGTGAATGAAGTGAATAAAGTGGAATTTAATTAATTAAATGGCTATGTAGATTTTCCGTACCACATGTGCAACTTTAAAGTGAATGTAATTGTTTGATGTAGTTGTGTAGCTCATTGCAATTTTAGTTGTCTATTCTAACATTTTCTTCATTTGCCAAAATCCTGTGTATATAGTGAATTTACCTGTTTCTTATGTATTCTTAATTAGGTATTTTCTATATGATGAAACATTGATTTGGTAGGTGTTGATATTATCATACCCTGTATTTGCTACTCAAATTTTGTTTTATCAAGTAAATTGTTAATCATTTGTATCTTGGATCTCTGAGGTTCTTTGTAGCCTTAATATAAATTTACAATATATTACTTAATAACCTTGGAAGCAAAGAGGTGTGACTTTTTTTTATCAAAATTTATTTCTTCTTCTTCTTCTTCTTCTTCTTCTTCTTATCAATAATTAATTGTATTTCAAAAATTATTAATTCGCATGATATTCCCACTTTGGTATGATTATAAAAAATTATTAATTCGCATGATATTCCCATTTTGGTTTGTTCATAATGCAATAAAGTTTCTTATAGTTAACCAAGCTTTTGGGATAATGTTTTCTTGATTTTTTTTATTATGCATTTCCATCTTACTGAATTGGTGTCGACTAATTTTTTTGTTTATTTGTTTTTTTCCTGTGGTTGATTGGTTTCCTATTAGTGAACTTGCATATATCTTTTGCAAATATGTTGTGCCTGTTTATTGCTTACAAAGGTTGTGCTTTTCATTTACAAAATTTTGTTCTGTGAGAAGAACATATATCCTCATGCATGACTTAGCAGCAACCTATTTGATTTTGTTAACTGGTTCTCATGCTAAGAACTTATTTTCTTACAGGCAGATAAAAAGGATGTGGTTGGTTTGCAGGAACAGGTAATTTTATAATACTTTAGTTTCATAATTTGGCAGTACATTTCATGTGCAGGAACTAACTAACTGTGGGAACTTCAGGTTTTCGTTAGAAAAGTAATTGAGCTACATGACAAGTACCTGACATACGTAAATGACTGTTTTATGAATCATACCCTTTTCCACGAGGTTTGAACTACAGACTTACTGCATGATTGAGTTATTCCATCTTATAATTCTTCCCTTTAGAATATCTCGTGTTTTCTTATAGGCACTCAAGGAGGCTTTTGAAGTCTTCTGCAACAAGGGTGTTGCTGGAAGTTCGAGTTCAGAACTACTAGCTACATTTTGTGATAATATTCTTAAAAAAGGTGGAAGTGAGAAATTGAGTGATGAAGCCATTGAGGAGACACTTGAGAAGGTGTGCTGCTCACTCTTTTTTGTATTCCAATTGACCTATTTGCAAGATGTAGAAAGTTACAATTAATGTGTATTTAATCTTCAGGTTGTGAAGCTGCTTGCCTACATATGCGATAAAGATCTTTTTGCTGAATTCTATAGGTAGATTATCTAATTTTTTTGGTTAGTGTATTGTGAGTCATTATGGAATGCAATTATTGTATCATTCGATTCATTCATAGATAATTCAGTTGATGTTCCAATTGGTGGCAGAAAAAAACTTGCTCGGCGGTTACTCTGGGACAAGAGTGCCAACGATGAGCATGAGAGAAGCATTCTGACAAAGTTGAAGCAGCAATGTGGTGGTCAGCTCACTTCAAAGATGGAGGGCATGGTAAGTTGTCCTGGATGATGATGTTTTTATGGACACTTGGGATAATTATGAATATTCTTTTATTGCTTTGCTATCTTCTAGGTCACAGATCTGACATTGGCACGAGAAAATCAATCGAACTTCGAGGAATATCTCAGCAATAATGCCAATGCGAATCCCGGGATTGACTTGACTGTTACTGTCCTGACCACTGGATTTTGGCCTAGTTACAAGTCATTCGATCTGAACCTCCCAGAAGAGATGGTATACTTTCAGAATTTTATATTCTGAGGCCTTTAAAATCTAGAACTCCTCCTGCTAATGTGAACTTGTGGAGTTTATGTTTAATAGAATACTCATCCATACTGAATCAATATTGCTTTTCTCTTAGGTCAAGTGCGTCGAAGTTTTCGAAGAATTCTATCAGACAAAAACAAAGCACAGAAAACTTACATGGATATTTTCATTGGGTAGTTGCAACATCAACGGAAAATTCGACACCAAAACTATTGAGATGATTATGACAACCTACCAGGTTAGTCATTCAAGAAAGTTTATTTTTCACGATTCTAATGACACAAACTTGGAGTCTTGACATTTTCTTTCTGTAGGCTTCTGTTCTTCTGTTATTCAATGGATCGGATAGACTGAGTTATCAGGAAATCGTCACTCAGTTAAACTTAACGGATGATGACGTTGTTAGATTGCTCCATTCACTGTCATGTGCCAAGTATAAGATTCTTAACAAAGAGCCGAACAATAAAACAATCTCTCCCACGGATTACTTTGAGTTTAACTCCAAATTCACCGACAAGATGCGAAGGATCAAGGTATTGGGATTATTTTCCAGCTGTGTTAGTTTTCCTTCTTTTTCTACTGATATTATGTATGATGAAAATCCGTTTACCAATGCAGATTCCACTCCCTCCCGTGGATGAGAAGAAAAAGGTAATTGAAGACGTTGACAAGGACAGACGTTATGCCATTGATGCTTGTATCGTGCGCATCATGAAGAGTCGCAAAGTTCTGGGCCACCAACAGTTGGTTATGGAGTGCGTCGAGCAGTTGAGTCGGATGTTCAAGGTAAGAGCACTTCATTTTCTCAATTCTATTATGCCCAGCCGTTGTTTTCCTCATTTTTAACCCAACGGAGTAAAATCCATCCACAGCCTGATTTTAAAGCAATCAAGAAGAGGATTGAATATCTAATCACCCGAGACTATCTAGAAAGAGACAAGGACAATCCGAACATGTTTAGGTATTTGGCATGATTTGGCAAGCTGATAACCCAGATGAATTTGTTACTGCAATGCTACCAGGCAATTAGCTCGCTCAAAAAATCTTACGACGGTGGAAGCCCGAGCACAAAGCACCAATTATTCCGTCGTGGGAGCTTTTGATAATTTGTATATTTTGCCCTCAAGTCAGGTGAGGATTATTACTCATTAAATTAGGTCAAATTGTAGGGCTTGAAGTCCGATTTTCAATAGTACAGTCCCATTCATGAAATTCCAACCACATGGTCTTGAAATCCCAACCACATGGTCTTGAAATTCCAATCACATTCAAAAGTGAGGTGTGGTCATGAAAAAATCTCTTAATCCGAGTTTGCCTACTTGTGGGGAAATCATTACCCACTCGCTAGAACCTTATAGCATGTTTTTAATTGGTAGGGACGACCCGATTAAATTTCATTTGAGTCGTTTAGAGTCAACTTACTCTCCTTCTTTGTCTTGGAATGACTAATTTACCCGACTTAGTTTTGGGACTTGAGTAAGAATCCGGTTTGCATTCTTTTTCGTTCATGATTCAGGTCCTATGGATCCGGGTCGTGACATTTTCGTTCTTGATTCAGGTCCGGGTTGTGACAGAAGTTTGAATATATAGGTTTACGTAAAAAAAAATTATTTATTTTATTTTTATATGTAGAGAGAGCTTCGGGTAAGTGCAGAGAAAAAAATTATTAAATTATTTCTCATTTTGTAATATATATATTTTTCCTTTCCTAAAGATTGTATAACCGATAGATTGGTCAATAGGTTACATGACCAAGCAATTTGGACCGTCCAATCGTCGACGGGGCTGATTGGTTTATTGTAACGCATGGCCCTTGGGGTCAAGGTTCATTCTCGCTTGAGGTGAGCCCATTCTGGTGTGCCAAAAAGTTAGAAGAGCAAGTCTAGAATTTGAAAAAGAGAGAGATTTCGGTGAAACGCCGACAAAGCTTCTAGCGATCAAATTTAGAATCCAACGAGGTTTCAATAAAGTTTTTGAAACTAGATTTCGATGAGGTTCCGATGAAGATTCTAACAATCAAACTTGGATTCTGGCGATCGGAATGAAAATTCCGTCCAAGACAAAATTAAGAATACCAAATTGGTTTTATTTTCAACTTATATTTTTATATTCATAGTTTTCATTATACGTAGTATATTATTTATTCAAAAGTTATTTTCAAAGGAAAAGTTCTTTAAAATTATTTAAAATTGGAAATTATGTTTTGAGTTTAAATTTAAATTTCTCAAATTAAATTTTATTATGAATATAATGTGAAGATATGAGTACATGAGTTGGCAGGAGTTGTATTAATATGATGTCATTTTTTTTTTCTCTATTTATTTATTTATTTATTTTCTTTTTCATTCATTTATTTATTTTTTTTTTTCAATTTTCAATATTTCTCCTATAAGTTTATTTACTCCACCAACCTATCATTTAAAGAATGTTGGGTGGAGAAAAATCAATTTATTCTTTAGGAGTCATGCATCATTTATGGCCAAACTCATTGAATGGTACCCCATTTTACCTTTCTAAACCATGTTATATGTTGAAAATATGTACTTACACATTAAATTTCTATTTTATTTATGAGTTAAATGCTCTGACACTTCTCAAGGTTTGCCTTTATTACTCGCATATTAAACTAGTGGAAAAAAAAAATTGTCTAAACCTCCCCTCAAGTTTGGTTAACTTTGCCATAAGACCCCCTTTTGTTAATTAACAATTAAAAAATTCAGAAGTCAATAAATTAAAAAAAATATAATGTCAAAGCTACCCTTAATTAATGAAGATGAGATGTATGAGGTCATAAATGAGTGTTTTTTTTTATTTATTTATTTATGAAAAGAGTATATAAATATAGAACAAAATAGTACATAGGAACATATGAGGGCACCTCGTAAGGGAAACAAACCAAGTCCTAAAAAGTACAAAAATTACCTAGACCAGAAGCAACAGAAAATTACAAAATGTCTGGTAGGTTAACCCTCAACACATCAAGAACCTCCCATAGTATACTTTTAGCTAGCTCCTTAGCCTCTTTTTCTTGCTTATCATGTAAACGATTATTCCTTTCCCACCATATGAAATACAATGTTGCAGTAAACATAACTCTAGCCATCTTCTTGATATCTTTTCGTTGTTGATTTTGAATAAACTGAGTTGCTAATTCGTGAACTCCTAAACCCCTCTGCAAATTCCATCCACAAATTTCAGTCAAGAAACACCATACTTTCTAAGTATAATAATTATAGAACAAATGATCCAAAGTTTCAACATCTTTATAGCATAGATAGCATCTTGTTGCTATATTAAAACCTCTTTTCTGCAAAAAAATTCTGAGTTATAATTGCTTTATGCATAAACAAAACAGAATGAACCGACCATCTTGGCCTCCCCCCACTCCAACATAAACCAACCCAAACCACATCCTCCAATTTCACTCTAGCAGCTTCCCATGCAGCTTGGAAACAAAAATGTTGAATCCATTTAATTTGATCCACCCCACCTGTTATCAACTGATTTTTAAACAGCAGCATCAACTCCTGTGTAGTGTTGCTTAACTTGTCATCATCCCATTGACCATCTGTAATGAAATCACACAAACTAATCTTCTCATCACAACTCAAGTACCCAAGAATCCTATGGTTAAAAAGTTCTCTCAAGAACCTGCCTTCACACTAAGGATCCATAAATACCTTAACATTCTGCCCAGTTCCAATAATGTATCTGCAATCGACCTTCACAAGCTCTCTAACATCAATAATACTCCTCCAAACAGCTGAATAAGCAACTTTAGTCATAAATGAGTTTGAGAACTAGGTCATAGATGACGTGGATTTTGACTTTTTTTTGTTTCATTTTCTATTAAGTTGAATGTTTAATTGAAGTATATATTAAACATATTGTGAAATTAGATTAATTGATTGTTGGATGTTTAATTGAGGCATATGATTGGTAAAACTAATCATATATTTCATGATGACTAATGTTTTAGTGTTTCCAATCAATTCAATTTATTAAATGAAGGAAGACAAAGGAAAATTAAAAAAAAGAAGAAGAAAGAAACAAAGAAATAAATAGAGAAAAAAGATAACATCATATTATCAACATTATATAAATTATATTAAGTAATCATATTGTAGTCGAATTATATTGTTGGCTTAATCAGCTAAATTGTGTATCAAGATTCAAAATTAATTTTATAATAATTTCATTGGATTGATTTAAAAATAAATATATTCATAATATTAATCCATTTTATAATAATTTCATTGGATTGATTTAAAGAAGAAACTAGGAACAAAACCAAATTGGGAACACTGGAAGTTGTTTTTCGGATTTTTCATGAGATGCCCAATCATGGGTGTATTCCAGACTCTTACACACATGGTATATGCACTTCTTTGACTCATAACTTATGTCTAGACTAAAATGATATATCTAAGTTAATTTAAGTTGATATTTGTGTCCAAATTAAAATAACTTAAATTGGGGAAGAGTAGTTTTAGCATTATATTTTTTTAATTAGTTGATTTTTGACTTCTCTAACTATGGGTGTCAGGGCTAAGTTAACCAAATTTGAGAAGAGGTTCAAGTTTTTTTTTTTTTTTAATCTGTGAGCAATAAAGGCATACCTAGGAAGGTGTCGGGGCATTTAACCAATTATTTAAATAAATAATTCTATCAAAAGATTCTACATGACAAGAGTTCTAGCTTTCCTTATTTAATTATTCTATTAAAATATTTGTTAAATAATTAATTTAAGTTTTTACGTATCTCAAAATATTATCTCAATAAGTAATTTATATTGATTAATAAAAAATCGATCGAACACTACTTGAAAAACAACTCTTCTTCTCAGAAACGAAATGTTCCTCAAAATTATTACTCCCATTGGACCATTTGTATCTATATGCATTAAGATCCCGATTCATGAATCTCTCAGTTCGAGAAATAAAAATAAGATTCAACAAATTTCTATAAGACATTAGTAAGAGTTAAGTCTGTCAATTAAATATTTTATAAATACCCAAACTACGACTAAGTGAGAGAAAATGAATCAAATGACCTTTTTAGTATACCAGATAATCATTATCATATAATTCAATATTTTTGTTGTCAAAACGAAGTACTTAACAAATAATTCATATGATTCAACAAAATAGACATTGGCTAATAAAAATTCATCCTCTGATTCATCGACAAACCACTTGTTAAAAATTACTCCCACAAAAATTTACCCTTATGGAATAATTGTTTTCAACCACCCACAATTTTTTTTTTTTCGACTCTGCAAAAATAATCCATAGAGGTAGATATAAGAAAGGATAGTTTTGTCCCATTATAATTCGTTGAAATAGTCATTTGATATTCTAATAAGGTTATTTGAGTTATTTTCTCTTATTTAAGGATAATTTAGGTATTTAAAAAATATTCCATTGATTCATTAGGTGGTCAAAAAAAATTGGACAAACCTCACACTAATTTGTAAAAGGAATCACATTAAAGAGAAAGACCATTACGCCTTATCTTTTATTCTTTATTTTTATTTTCATTTTCATGCCAATCCTTCCTTTCTAAAGCTATCTTTTTCTTTTCTTTTCTTTTTTCTTGAAGTTGGGGTGTTCATTACTTTGCCCCACTAATTTACGGGACCTCACTTCCCAAATCTAGTAAACTTAGACTATATATGCGGATATGACTCCTAAAAAATTATTTGCATCTAAAAAATATATGTGGATAGACCAATATTCTCTTTTCAATTCAAATCCTCGGTGATAAAAATTTGTACAGGCAAAGAAGATGAAGAGAAGCAATTGAGGAAGATACTTTTGACATTGTTAACGAAGGAAAAAAAAATTGTCAATGAGGGTATTTTTATTTTTATTGCATATTGTTAAGATGAGGGTATTTTGGTAATTTCAAGAGACTTCAGGAGGATAATAATGTCTTTACATCTAATACAAGGACAAATATAGATATTTTGAAACATAATTGTTAAAGAAAAAATCTATTTTTTAAAAAAATGATTGGCATCTCATGCTATATAATACTTTCCACAGCCCAAAAGTGGATTGAAATGGAAAAAGGAAAAAAACAAAAAATACCACGTGTGACCTAGACCCCTTCTCCAAGTCAAACCCCGCCACTTTTTACCTGCCCACCGGTCAATCCGGTACCCCCAGTCCACTTCCGCAGACCATTTGATGGCATTTATGGACTTTTACCTACTACTACTACACTACCACTATAGATAGTGTCATTGGTCAATCAGCACGCACATCAACGAGATCCCAGCCGTCCATTTGTCATACTCGATCTCGACCGTCCGTTTTCAGTGCATTACAACGGAATGCAACGAAAACAAACTCCATGCAATCTTTGCTACTTTCACCTTTTCAACTGACACGAATGCTTCGACCACGCGCTTTTGTAGCTCTTGTATAAAACTATTAGCAATAATTTTCCATTTCTCGGATATTGTAATTTTCATTTATATATG